CGCAGTGGCTCACACCTATAATCCCAGCATTTTGGGAGGCCAAGGTGGGCAGATCACCTGAGGTCAGGAGTTTGAGACCAACCTAGCCAACATGGTGAAACCCTGTCTCTACTAAAAATACAAAAAATTAGCTGAGTTTGGTAGCACACGCCTGTAGTCCCAGCTACTTGGGATGCTGAAGCAGGAGAATTGCTTGAACCTGGGAGGTGGAGGTTTCAGTGATCGGAGATCCTGTCGCTGTACTCCAGCCTGGATGACAGAGGGAGACTCCATCACAAAAAGAGGGCCGGATTCAAACTCCTCAGGTGGATCTGACTTCACATTCAGAGCTCTTGGCTTTTTACCATGCTGGCCCTGCCCTCTGGGAGCTTCCAGTCTCACGAGGCCTAATGCTAGCCATGGCAGGGACATTTTGGGGAAGCATGAAATAGATGCTACATTAGCAGTGGGGTGAGAGCAAGTGTGCGGTCAGGGAGACTGGGCTGATCTGGACTCTTCTCCCGAGGCAGGTGTGGATGGCATTGCCCGGGCGTACTCAGCTTGCCTGCCCCACATCCGCTTCTACGGCCCCACCAATTTCTCCCCCATCGTCAACCACGTGGCCCGGTTTGCGGCTCAGGCCACACAGCAGCAGACGGCCACGGTGAGTAGGCAGCTGCAAGCCAGGCATGCCGGGAACTGTTCACGTCCTCTGGGCCTGGGAGCAGGATATTCTGCCTTCTCTTTGCTTTTAATCCTAGTGGACATCCTGCTTCTCTCTGGGCCTCAATTTACCTTCACGTATTGGAAGAGGGTTGGGTCAAGCTCAACTTGATTGGTCCTGGCTTCCTGGAGCACAGAAGGGAAAGCAAATCCATTGGTGCTGAGCGGGAAGCAGGGCTGTGGTCAATGGGAGATGTCTCCCCAGGGCGGGGCACCAGTTACTCCTACAAGAGTAACAGGATGGAAAACTGGAGGCGGTGATCCCCAAGGCCCTAACGCTGACCCTTTTGAGCCACCGAGTTCCAATCAGAGCAGCCCCTGCCTCACACTGAGGGCTGCAGAACTGTCTGGCCCTGGCCCTACACTCAATAACAAGGCCAGAGCCTCACTGGCCTGGCCGCAGGCTGCCAAGGCAGCTGTGTGGCATCTGGAATATATGGTGAGCAGCCATCCCGGGCACCTGCAACCCTGGTCTCCTTCCCTTCTCCTGCCCCCAGCTATAGGCTGGCTCCCAGGCAGGCCCTGATGCCAGTGATGGGGTCACCAACGGTCACCTTGCCCACCTCCCCGTTTCCACCAGGACCTGCCCAAGCCTTCCTGGACTCTGCAGAGCCCTCCCTCAGGACCCCCTCCCCCAAGCAGCCTTCCTTGACCACCTATCTGAAGCAGATGTCTTGCCTTCTCTGCCTGTCCCCAGCTGACCCTGATGACGGTTGGCAACGTCTAGTTCACATCCTTCTCTCTGCACCTGGTCCAGTGCCTGTGAATGGATGAAGTCAGTGCCGGCTGCGGGATGTGAGCTGTACGAGGCTCAGTCAGAGGCTCCTCCCCCAGGGAAAGGGACCTGGTCCTATGCCTAAGGGGACCATTGGGACCAGCTAGGGGAGGGAGGCACCTGGTCACCAGGGAGGTGGCAGTTGGCTTCCAGGAGGTGGTGGAAAAGATAGTATAACCACCCAGTGGGCTCACCTTGCCCGCTGCCTAGACAGAATTGATTTATCAAGACAGGGGCATTGAGGTGGAGAAAGACTAATTCACACAGAGCCGACTCTGCAGGAGACTGGACTTTTGTTATCACTCAAATCAGCCTCCCTGAGCATTTGGGTATCAGAGTTTTTCAAGATAATTTGGCAGGTAGAAGCTTGGGAAGTGGGGATTGCTGATTGGTCAGGTTTGAGATGGAGTCATGGGGGTCGAAGTGAGTTTTTCTTGCTGTCTCCTGTGGCTGGGTTTGATGGCAGAGCCGACTGAGCCAGGTTACTGGTCTGGGTGGTGTCAGCTGATGCAGGGTCTACAAAATATCTCAAGCCCTGATCTTAGGTTTCACAATAGTGATGTTACCCCCAGGAGCAATCTGGGGAGGTTCAGACTCTTGGAGCCAGAGGCTGCATGACCCCTACACTGTAATTTCTGATCTTATAGCTAATTTGTTAGTCCTGCAAAGACATACTGGTCCCCAGGCAAGAAGGGGATCTTTTCGGGGAGGGGCTGTTATCAATTTTGTTTCAAACCATGAGCTGAATCCCTTCCCAAAGTTAGTTCAGCCTATGCCCAGGAATGAACAAGGACAGTTTAAGGGTTAGAAGCAAGATGGAGTCAGTTAGGTCTGATTTCTTTTCCTGTCATAATTTCCTCAGTTATAATTTTGCAAAGGCGGTTTCAATAGGAGTCGGGAGGACAGAGCCTGTTCTGATGGCTCAGGAGGCAGCAGAGGGTCTGTGGGAAAAATGGGTGCCTTGGAGTGGCGCGTGCCAGGGTTTGAATCCTGCCCCTGTCCTTTCCTCACTGTGTGACTTGGCAAGGTATGTCACCTCAGTTTCTTCATTTGTACAGCAGGAAAACTAACAGGATCAATCAGGAGGAGGTGGTATCAGGGTTAAATAACATCACTCAGCACCTGGCACCCAAAAAGCCCTGAAGGACAGAGAAGGACAGGCCAGCAAAGAGCTCAGGGAAGAGCAGCCAGGGCAGAGGGAACAGCAAGCTCAGAGTTCTTCCGGGAACTCAGAGTCCCGAAAGGGGTGTCCCGGCCCTGACCCTGACAGCCCGGAGCCTGGGGCATGCTTCTTCTTATGGAATGGAATGTTTCCTGCTCTGAACCCATTTCCTGTTTTTGTTTTTTGAGTCGGAGTTTCGCTCTTGTTGCCCAGGCTGGAGTGCAATGGCACGATCTTGGCTCACCTCAGCCTCTGCCTTCCGGGTTCAAGCGTTTCTCCTGCCTCAGCCTCCAGAGTAGCTGGGATTACGGGCACCTGCCACCACGCCTGGCTAATTTTGTATTTTTAGTAGAGAGAGGGTTCCACCGTGTTGGTCGCGCTGGTCTCAAACTCCTGTCCTTAGGTGATCCTCCTGCCTCAGCCTCCCAAAGTGCTGGGATTACAGGCATGAGCCACTGTGCTGGGATTTTTTTTTTTTTTTTTTTTTTTTTTAAATTCCTGGGGTTGCTGGGGTAGAGCTGGCTGGAGAGGGCAGAGCGAGAGGCAGGCTTCAGCCTGCACTCCCTCCTGTTCGGATGCCAGGCCCCATTGTCCCACCCAGTCTTTTGTCTGCCTGAGCAGGCTTTCAAAATGATGGGGAAAAAAAGTCCTGCCGGTTTGTTTAAGGGGAGACATGTGGGGCAGGGAGCGGGCATGCAGCCCAGAGTTAGCACCAGGGGCCCTTTCACCACTGCACCTGCAGAGTTGGGGCAGGACAGAGCAGGAGCCAGGGTCCTGGGGAGAGGTGGGTCTGTGTCTGCTGGACCCAGGTCTGGAAGGGGTTTGGGCACCAGGAAAGGCCAGGAAGGGCATTTGTGTGTTCTGGGGAGCAGCTGCAGAGAGCTCCCCAGAGGAAAGAAGCAGAAGGACTTGAGGCGGAAGCACCTGGTGCTCTTTCTCTGGACATCCCAGCCACTTTTGCCTCGACTTGGTCTTCCCGGCCTGGGGGAGGCAGCCTCCTCCTGGCTCTCCCTTCTGCTGGAAAAGCTGTCACCCACCCAGGCTGTGTGACCTCGGGGCATGTCTGAGCATCTCTAACCTGCAGGAGTGGGGCCAAGGGGCCTGTATCAGCCCCTCCCATTCTGATGTCCAGGAACAGATAAGGTCGTTCTCTACCTCCTGCCTTACCTTATCCTTGGCCTCAGGGCGCACCAGTGGAGGGGAGGTGGACTGCCTGGTGGTTCAGCCCCAAGCTCTGTAAAGTTCACATCTCAGCTGCCCTACTTCCTGAGTGTGTGGGACCCAGAGCAGATAGCTTAGACTCTTTGAACTTGTTTCTTCATCTGTGTGACAAGGATAATGGCAACAGTCCCTGCCTTCTAGAACAAGATAGGTGTAGAAATTGATCAGCATAGTCCCTGGCACACATAAAGTACTTCCCTGCTGGCCAAATCTTTTGGGGACACCTCTTGGGCTAGCATTCAGTGATGCCAAGCACAGTTAGTCCCAAAGCAAAAGGAAGTCATTTTTGAATTATCCCCTGATGCTTTTGTCAGCCGTTTTTAGTTTGGGGAGGAATATTTGGTGTGGCTTCACCCTCCCCATCCCCAGACATATGTGCACCGATGCACACCCACATACAGGAAATTGAGAGCAGGTGGTGGAAGCCTCTCTCTAGGCAGGCCTGCACTCTCCCATTCATTCACTCAACACATCTTTACCAAGCAACTTCTGTGCAGCACTGGGTAGACCATGATGAGCGGGACAGGGCCTCTGCCTTCCCAGAGCCCTCAGTCTAGCCTCCCTAGGCTAAGAGCAGGAGGCAGGAGGATTGGGCCTGGGGCGATAGGAGCACAGGCTCACAGGGGTGGCATCCAACCCAGATGGAGGGCTCAGGAAAGGCTTCTTGGGAAAGTGACATGTGAGCTGAAACTTAGAGGATGCCTGAGTTAGCCTCATAAAGGATGTGTGTGCGTCGAGTATCTCAGGCGAAGGGAATGGCACATGCAGAGACCTGGAGGTTTGGTGTGTGGGTGTAATGGAAGGAGGGAATGCGTTGAAAGAGGAGGAGGTGGGGCGAGGTGAGGCTGAAAGGTAGACCAGCTCCTGCGGGACCTCACCGAGGAATCTGGGTTTTCTCTGGAGGGCAGTGGGGAGCCACTGGAAGGTCTTAGGCAGGTTTGAGTGGGCCCTTGGGGGGACTCCTATCTCGGCCCTTCATCTTTCCCCCTGCCTTGACCCCTAAGACCTGGGCCTTGCTATTCATGGCCCGTTCCTGGTTGGTTGCCCTGGTGTCTGGGGTCCCAGTGGAGGGGGAGCTGGGAGCAGCCAGCGCCCTAGGAATTCCACCCGCTCCCACCCCCAGGGTCCTCAGCAGCCAACTTCCCTGAAATAAGCTAGGGAGTGAGTGCAGCTTCCATAGACTCTGCCTGGAACTGTGTGGTCAAGTCAGTTTCTTATAAATCAAATCACACGTTAAATGCATTAGGGAAAGCAGTTGTTTACAGCCCTAGAAACCTGATGAACCTTGGAGTAAAGGCAAGAGATGCTCTATCCATGTTGGGAGTTGGGTTTTTGGATTCAATCTGACAGTGATGGACTGTTTCCAGAGGTGGGAATGCTGGGGGCAGGGTGGACCAGGACTATCTGCAGGAACACCAGAGCCTGCAGAGCCCCTTCCCACCCCTCGCACCCGATTCCACCCTCTGTCTTCTCCATCTACAGCCCCTTCCCATTTGATCTGTCCTGGGGGTGGGGCTGTATAATAGACGTTTGAGGCTCCTGAACAACTCTGGCTTTGTCTAGGCTGGGCAGGAAGCCCAGGACTCATCAGCTTCACTTCTACTGCTGAGGTCTGGGCTGCTGACCTCAGACGCAGCTGGGCACTCGGTGAGGCCAGGAACCTGGGTGTGGGCATGGTGGCTGGCTGGTTGGCACACAGGGGTGCAGGTTAAAGTCCAGTACCAGGGCTCTGGGCCCCACCCTGGGCTGCTACCCTGGATATTCAGGCCCTCAGACACTGGCATGCTGGGTGGGAGGAAAGCTTTTCCCTATGAGGCCCCTCTGTTAGAGACAATGACAGGCCACTTGTGCCAGTGGGCGGTGGAGGAGAACATCATGGAAAGAGCCCCACTTCGGAGTCAGCCAGGCTGGATTTCAGTCTGGACTATGCCAGTTCCTGGCTGTGAGGCCTCAACAAGTCACATCACCTCTCTGAGCTCGACTCTTCTAGAATGGGAGTCAGTGTGAGGGTGACAGGCAGGGTAGTGCTGTCACTGTGTGGTATCACACCCCCTGGCCACTGGTGCCCATAGTCCTGCAGTAACCTGGTCCTGTCTGCCCCCAGGCTCCGTGGGGAGGAAGCCTGCCAGCTAAGAGAGAGGTCCAGGCCTGAGCCCCACACATCTCGTAGGCACGGGGCTGATGGAAACAGGAGAGCCAGGAAGGCCACATACCGAGGGAGTGGGCACCGCCTGCCTGAGCTGGAATGGGCTTGGAGACAGGTCCCATCCACTGAAAGGTGGGGCCTATTACACCAAGGCCAAGCATTCTTTTCTTTCCTCATTGCCTGGCCTCTTAGTGTCTTCCTACCTGTCTGCTTAGGTGTCCCAGAAATATTGCCCTGGACTATTTCTGATGGTATTGAGGTGGGGTTGGAGGGCTGCCTAAGGGAAGGGGCCCAGGAACGATGGCGGGCTGTCAGGGATAAGGTCTGGATGGGCCTCTGAGGCCCCCCTCACAGCCAGGGATGGGGGGCTGGCGGCAGCAGCCCTCCACTGTGGGATTCAGGCCGTCATCTCCATGGCAACAGGTAAACCCAGCCAAGGGATTGGTCTCTTAAAGGCACAGTGCCGGAGCTAGACCACTGCTGCCTGGAGCTAAGGGCGAGGGTAGTGAGGTCCGTCTCTCCACATCAGCTCATTCTGCTCCTTCCCTCTGCGGCTGTAGTTGTGGAGAAGACAGGGAGCAAGTCACCCTGGAGGGCTGAGCTTGTAGCCCCTGCAACCTCCCCAGGGAACAAGCAGCTTTGCTGGATATGAAGGTGGCCAAGGTCTGACCTGGGGTCCAGCTTGGTTCCACCCTCCTTAGCTCCATGAGCTTGACTAGTCTAGGCCCCAGTTTTCTCTTCTGGAAATCAAAAGGGTCAGACTAAAGCCCCAAACAGAGAATCTGAGGACCACAAGAGCTGCTCTGTTGATGTTATAGATGGGGGAAACAGCTTCCCCTAAAGGGGTCAGCGGGTACTAAGGACAGAGCTGAGCTGAAAATGAGTTCTTGGCCAGGCGTGGTGGCCGACATCTGTAATCCCAGCACTTTGGGAGGCCGAGGCGGGTGGATCACCTGAGGTCAGGAGTTCATGATCAGCCTGGCCATCGTGGTGAAACCCCATCTCTACTAAAAGTACAAAAATTAGTTGGGCATGGTGGCGGGTGCTTGTAATCCCAGCTACTCAGGAGGCTGAGGCAGGAAGAATCACTTGAACCTGGGAGGCGGAGGTTGTGGTGAGCCCAGGTTGTGCCACTGCACTCCAGCCTGGGTGACAGAGTGAGACTCAGTCTAAAAAAGAAAAGAAAAAAAAACTAGAGTTCTTGGCCAATTTGGAATCCTGGGCCTTCCACCCCCAGGTGGTCCAGTGAGCCTTCGCACACTTCAGTCAGGCACACCCCGGCCCCACTTCACAGTTTGTACTTTATATCTCTCCCACACTAATTATTCAGTATTTTTTTTTACTTAATAAACTTTATATCTCAGTGTAAATGAAGAAAGCAGTATCATTTGCCATAAATAGAGAGTAACAAAAATAAACACAACAAACTGTACAATGATATTAAAATCTAGCTGGAGACTATTGTCTCCTCCAGCTCTGGGCTTCCTGCCTTCCCTTTCTGTTGATAGGAAAGCTTAGCAAATGTTAGAGAGGCGTGAAAGACACAGTAGTACCAAACCAAGACCTCCTCCTGGGTGCAGTTCATAGAATTGAAAGGCCGCTGCAAACCAGCACTCTTCACAGGGCGACTTGATGACTTGATGGTACTCAGTGCTGTTTGGGATGTGACCCAAATCCACTTATTTGCCAGCAGAGTACCACGCTCCTGGAAGCTCTGGCCCAGTCGACCTGCTTTAGCTCCTGCAAGGTGTCTCAGATTGCCTTGTGGAGTAGGGAGTGGAGGGAGGTCACAGGTGCCCATGCCCGGATGCAGCAGAGACAGGAGGCTGGCCCCAGAGCCCATCAGCCAGATGAGTCCTCCTGTACCAGCCGTGGGCCTGTCGGGATGCAGGTGACTGCACCACTACATGTCAGGCATGCTATCTGCAACAACTCCCACTTTGCAGATGAAGAAACTGAGGCACTGCAAGTCAAGTCAGTTGCCTAGAGTCCCACAGTGTAGCAGCCGACAAGGCCAGGCCCAGAGTCAGGGCTCTCAGAGGCCACAAGTGGGGAGCCTAAGGTAACACACCGGGCAGGAGAACAGTTTGTGCTTCCTGCCGTGAACAGGTCAGAGTTCAGAGTATATGAGGCCTGCAGGGGTGGGGTGCTTAGAGCAGGATGCATAGGGAGTTGTCTGGGACGTGGCTGCAGCTGGGTAAGAAGCACTGCTTTCCTCCAGGACTCACAGGGTTTGGGGTGGAGGGAGGGAGAAGGGGTGCCAAGGCCTTGGCCTTGTTGAGTGCCCTGTTGGCCCCATCCCCGCAGCAGTACTTCATCCTCCTCATCATCACCGACGGGGTCATCAGCGACATGGAGGAGACGCGGCACGCGGTGGTACAGGCTTCCAAGCTGCCCATGTCCATCATCATCGTGGGTGTGGGCAATGCCGACTTCGCTGCCATGGAGTTCCTGGATGGGGATAGCCGCACGCTGCGCTCCTACACCGGGGAGGAGGCGGCCCGAGACATTGTGCAATTCGTGCCCTTTCGAGAGTTCCGCAACGTGAGTGTGGGCCTGGGCTGGGGGGTGGCGGTAACATGACCCCAGCCACCATAGCTCATCATCAAGCCTGAGAGTCTCCCGATTGTCTGACCCAGTCCCAGACTCCTCCACTCCATTGACTATGCACTTCTGAGGGCCTGCTGTGTGCCAGGTGCTGTGCCAGGCCTTGCCCTGGTGGCAGCCATTGTGATAGTGTGAGCACTTGCTTCCACAGGCTGGTGCAACACGAAGCCTTAGGCATCTAGCCTGGGGCTCCTGGCAGGGGGAGGGTGGGGGGGCTTCCTGGAGGACCTGACCTCTAGTGGGGTCTCATGAAAGGCTGGGGCTTTTCACATGACATAAAGTGCAGGAGGAGAGAGGGACTTTCCTGATCATCATACCCCAGTCAGCTCCCTCATTTTGCAGATGGAAAGCAAGGCCTCCCCCTCATCTTAGGTTGACCTCCTCTCCCTATAGGCCTGGGAGAGGAAATCAGCCTCCTGGGAGAGTAGTGTTCCCTGCCTTGTTCCTGGAGGTGACTTTGGCTTTATCTGCAGGTGATCCCAGGTTTGCCCACAAGGAGGCTGGGGTCACTGCCCTGGCACCTGGGTCCATAAGGAGTCCCAGAGGGGGGCAGTCTGTCAGATGCCACCCCTGTACTGCTGGCCAGGGGCTTAACCCGCATTTGACCAGAGGCTCACCCTGTGGTTTTGGGTAAGCCCTGACCTCTCTGGGCCTCAGTTCCTCAGCTGTGTGGGCCCCTCAGGGGTGCTGTGGCTCAGATCCTGGCAGCCAGCCTCAGCAAGAACTGCCCACACTGGTTTGCACCCAGTGGCCCTCACCTCTCTGTCCAGCATCCTCTGGGTTTGTCTGCAATGGTTCTGCTTCTTCTGGAGCATTTGCTTCCTGAGGACAAACGCTGGGCATCAGTCACCCCTTTATGCACAGAACGGTGACCGAGCACCTCCACGTGCCTGGCCTGTGGCTGACCATTCACTAGTGAACCAGACTGTTATTTGAACCAGACTTGGCCTATTTATTCCCGCCAAGAAGGTGCTCAGGAGATGTTTGTCAGATATGTAGGTGCATCCCATGGACAGAGCCATCCTAACCTGTTACTCCCAAGCATCTCAAGTGCTCCTGGTAACAGTTACACCTAACCTAAAGGCAGGCACTGTGATCAGCGGGAATTTCAGGCCTGGACTGAGAAGAGGGATGCCACTTGCAGACAGCCCTGGCCCGAAGCCCTAATTCTGTCCTCCATGGACACCTGCTGTCACAGCCCTCTGGGCACAGTGCCACTCACAACTTCCGGTCATTAACCCTTATTCTCTCTCTTCCCCCCCCCCCACCATCCTCCTCCACCCTGTAGGCAGCAAAAGAGACCTTGGCCAAAGCTGTGTTGGCGGAGCTGCCCCAACAAGTTGTGCAGTATTTCAAGCATAAAAACCTGCCCCCCACCAACTCGGAGCCCGCCTGAGCTCCGATGCCCAGCAGCAGCATGTTGGCTGAGCCTCCCGCCCTCCCCCAGGAACATGCATGCTCACCCTGCTTCCTTGTGGGTGGCCTTTTTTTACCAATCCAGATCCACGTTTTTATTTTTTACAACTGGACCTCCACCCCCAACTTCCTCCAGCCCAGCTGGGCTTCCTTTGTTGGAGTCAACTGTTGATGCTTCCAGGCCAAACCGGCTTCCTCTTCTCCCCTCCCCACCCTTGCCACTCTTAAGTATTGAATGTACTTTGTATAATTTTAGTGGAATTATTATTGTTATTGAGAATAAAATTTTTACAATCATAACCGGCTTTTTCCAAGTAACTAGCTGCACACTCTGATGAAAGGAACGTGTCCTTGGTGTATACTTCGTGTCGTAGCCTGCACCTAATTCCTGCTGTTTTTTGTTTTTTTTAATACTGTGACTGTGTTCTATTTGTTATATACTCAGGGTAATACATGAGTTTCAGACGTCCCTGTGTCAGCTCCGTCCTCAGCAGGGACCTGACAGGCTCACTGATCTGAGAAAGGAATGTAAGATGAAAATCCACCCCGCAAGCCCACTAAGTTGGTGTAGTCACTTCTGCATGGGGACATGCATTCCACGTGATAACCTGTTAAATCACTGCCAGCTAACAGTGATAACCTGTTAAACTGGCACAGAACCTGGCACACTGTACAAACTCAGTAAATACTTGTGGATGAATAGAATGTGCAAGCCCACACCAGTTTCTGGTTGGTTCCACTCAGGTGCAACCAGTACCACATATCCCTACCCCACAACTGGACAGCAGTCCCAGCCACCCATCTGCCCCTACTTGGGGCCCCCGGGTGTTTCGGTCAGTCACTGGAGGTCTATGAAAGCCTCTCTGGCCTCAGGACCCCAAGTGGGGCTGCTTTTGACCCTGTTGTTTCTACCACATCCCCCTCTCTGGGCTCAGGCCCAATTTTATGATACCTGCCAGTGGACCCTGAAAGTTCAGCCCCCCTCCCAGGTCACCCCTTTCTTCCACATAACACCTCTTTCTCTTTTATCCACCTGAATGACTCCTGCTTGGAGCTCCAGGTAGCCCCTTAGACACGGGATTCTGTGTAAGCAGTAACAGCTAACCTTCCTGTTAAGCACAGTTTCCAGCTCTGTGTTCAGTGTTTTGCAGGCACTTTTTTGAGACTCTCATCGAGGCTGGAGTGCAGCGGTGAGTAGCTGGACCACAGGCATGCACAACGCGCAGTTTTGTAGAGACGGAATTTTGCCGTGTTGCCTAGGCTGCAAGCACTATTTTGGTGAACCCTTCCGAGCCCTTGACAGTGACCATTTCAGAGATGAGGAGACAAGCAGAGAGGCGAATCACGTCTACTAGAGGCAGAGCCAGGTCTCATACCCAAGTCTGGCTGCCTCCGTGGCCCACACTTGCTCCAGTGCGTTGAATGCCTTCCCTTGGCTCTGGATGGGGTTCTTCTGCTCAAGCTGCTAATGAATTTGTCACTCTGTGCCACTGACATTGGGAAGTCAATTGTCCCCACCTACTCTCCTGGTAATTCTTACTAGGGCCTTCTAGGATTGGGCACCGCAGCACATAGATTCCCACCTCTTAGTTCCTGGTGAACTCCAGCCAGAGTTTTTCTGGTGGAAGCGAGTAAGGGATACTTTCATCCTAAGCCTCTGATGCCCCTACTGATTCTGTGGTCACCAAGAGTCAGCTGAAGGATCTGTTAGGGAGACTTCTCTCTAGAGGGCCGCTGGACTGCACAGAGCCCTGATGTGCAGACTGTCCCTTGGAAAACCACAGAGGACTGGCCCCCAGGCCGGCAACATGGGTGGAATCCCACTCCTTTACAGCTTCCCGTGGGAGTGACTTACGAGCTTGGTGAAACTAGGGAGGCTGCTATCCACTGGGCCATGTGAAGGCAAAGCCCCAGCCTTGCAGTGGGGGTCGGTCCCGCATGCTCCCACTCACAGGTCACTTCCTCAGGTGTGGTGGCTGCGGACCCCACATCCAGGCTTCACATGGGGGCAGACCCAGCCATCTCTGCTCTCTGCCTGCTCCTTCTCTGCCTAAGGAGTGAATGGGTAAGTCAAGCAGGCCCTTTACTCCAGGCTGGCTTCAGTTCAGAAGGGAAAGGAATGTGTCTAAACTCTTGACAAGGCCAGCCAATCACTTTTTATTTTTTAATTTTCGAGACAGAATCTCACTGTCACCCAGGAGGGAGTGCAGTGGTGCAATCTCGGCTCACTGCAGCCTCCGCCTCCCGGGTTCAAGTGATTCTCCTGCCTCAGCCTCCCGAGTAGCTGGGACTACAGGCACATGCCACCTTGCCTGGCTAATTTTTGTATTTTTAGTAGAGATGAAATTTCACTATGTTGGTCAGGCTGTTCTTGAACTCCTGACCTCACGTGATCCACCTGCTTTGGCCTCCCAAAGTGCTAGGACTACAGGCATGAGCCATGGCGCCCGGCTCCAAATCACTTTTTAAAAAATCCAGGCTGTGGTGCTGCTACTTGGTTCCCGCACATGGATGGCAGGCTGAAAAGTGAACTTCGAAATTTAACTGGAAAGATTCCTTCACCCTTGAATCTCCTCCACGGAAGCCTGGGCACTGGCATTTGTTTTAAGTTCCACTGAAACCACAGAAAGCCGCACTTGGACTTAAAGGCTCAAATGAAAATTCTGGTTCTGTCACTTAACTACGCAACCTCAGGCATGTGCCCCTAGGAATCCTGATTTCCTGCACAATATAGGGAAGGGCTGCTTCACAGGACTTTTCTGCCCCAGAATGAAAGACACTACAGTTCACAAAAATAACGCACAAATGCCCCAAACACCCTGGCACATACATAGCAAGCTCTCAGTATACACTGAACGAAAGAAAGCAACACAAGTAGTGATGTGCATGACTATTACTAAAACAGCAATGGAAGACGAGCCTGCAGTATAAAGCACAGGTGAAGGGCTGTCCCTCAGGTTTTTCAGCCTCTGCCCTCTGCAAATCTCTGATGCTGCGGCCATGTGCTGCCTGTTCCTGCTGTGAGGCTCCCTCTCTCCCTAAACCGATGCTCCGGCAGGTAAGGGAGCAAAATGTCAGCCCCTGCCAGTGTCACTAAAGCACAAATGGATGACTGGTTTCTGTGTTCAACCTGTGACTACCAAAGTGTTGCCAAGATCCCAGCCTCCCACCGAGCAGAACCTGCATTCCATCCTGTGATGCGTAAGTGGGTTGGGCACGCGGAAAATACCCAAGTCCAAATAATCTGCACTGCCATAGAGCTCTGTTTTTCTGGAGGGACCTAAGACGACAGCTGAGCCATATACCCACGGCTAGGACACCCGCGCCAAGGAACCGGGTGTGCCTAAGCAATTAACATTTAGCTAAGATGGAAGCATACAGCAAAAGCTGGTGGTTGGAGCTTTGACGACCAGATCTGACCCTTTGCCCATGCCAGTTTTCTAGCTGCAACTGAGGAAGGCCAGTGGAATGGATAAACCTGCATAAATCGCCACTAATGGAAGCTCTGGCTATGCCACCCAGAAACAAGGGAGGCCTGATGCAACAGCACCGAGGGTGGCCACCATCTGTCAGATACCGCACACCTAGCACCTAATCTAGGTTATCTCTATCTCCCTAGGAAGTTAGTGTGTTATTCCTATTTACCAAGGAGGAAAGTGAGGTGAAAGGTCACACTAACCTTGCCCAAGTGACACAGCTAGTTATAGTTGGCTCCTAACTCATAACAACTATGGTGGAACTAGGCTGAGTTCCCAGGGAGGAGCAGCAGAAACAGTGCGGAATGGCTTAGACAAATGAAGATCCTCTCTTGGGTGGGAAGGAGGTAGCCAGAAGGGAAGAACTCAGGAGCTAGAGTGAAAGAAATGAGGATGCCTGGCACTAAGTCACCCAACTTAGGGGCTCCTGACTCCCAGTCTAGAATGATCCTGAAAAAACCTGAAGCCACCTGCCCCACCCCCCTTTGGATTTGAGAAGCCAGCTCTGTCTCTTGTGTACTTAGATTCAGGGAAGATATACACGAGTAGGTAGCCAGCCACCTTTTTGGGTCTAGTCACATCAGCTTCCCTGCTTTTTATAGATGGAAAAATAGATGCTTCAAATTTCACACTCCCTTTCTCCACCTAGGTGGGTGACAAGCTAGATAATCCTCCCTAAACAGAGCTGGCAGTAGGATTCCTATTAGCTTTCTCCCTCACATGGTTGAAGAGTGGTAAGAATTCTACCACTCAGGACAAAGTAAGCAAGCTTAAAGAAAACCATGCCAAACTTTGTTTTAGTCCCGTACTTACCCAGTTATAAAATCCCAATTACTAAGGCAGGAGTACTACACTTTATGGTTTAAAGCAGTGTTTCCTTCCAGCCCTGTCCATTCTATTCTCCTTTGGGTTCGAACTTCAAGGTCTACATTAGATGCTTTCCAAGGCTGCTTCCTTTGTTGGTCAGATCAGACGCTGCTTTGTTAGCTGTAGTTTTTACAGAAGCTGTGTTTCAGTTCCAGAGCTCTGTGCTAAAGCGTACAATGGAACATGATGCAATGATCACCAGTGATTCTCAGTCTCTTCTGAGACACCATGAAGAGAAGTCACAGTCTGGACAGTCTCAACCTTCTCAACACAATCTAGCTGAGAGAGATGGGGAGAGTTAGACACAATATTCAGTAGAGGAAAAACAAGATGTTGTTCTTTGACAGGTTTATTAGCTTTCATGTTAATCTTTTTAAACCTGCAACCCTTTGTCAACTTCTTTCTCTATCAAGAGGTCATGAAGTACAGTAATGGCCTCTTAAGAGTCAAGCCACATAAAGATGGTGACTTTGATGCCCTGGTCTGCTGCCTTTAACAATGTGAGGCTGTTTTGGGAACATGCTGTAATAACAGGACTATCACAGGAACAATGAAGCAGAGAAGCAGAAGGTGCCTACACAGTTTTACCTAAACGTCTTATTTGTTAGGATGGAGCTGACACACGTATTGGCAGTCATGAACAATTAGCATAGAGTAGTTCTGAAACGGAGGAAGAATTCACAAGGCATCAGTTATGGGTGCAGGGAAGTCACCATCTGCCAACGGGCACTGGAGTATCACTGCACTGGAAAGGGAAAAGGAGTGGGCTGGATGAGATCCAGGGGCCTCTCTGCCCACATTCAAAGTCGGTAGCTGCTTTGCCTGCTGGCATCACAGTGTCAACACATTTTGTGTGTGTCTCGCTCAGTCTCACACCCAAGAAAGTAAAAACAATTGATGTAGGAACAAGGGGAATGGATAAAGAATGGTACAGGCTTATTCTAAAGCAGGAGAGCCTACAGACTGTTGTCAAAGCTCATGTCTGCCTCTGTCCTCGAGGCCTCCACACCCTCTCCCCCTCCCTCCTCCAGAATCCAAGGGTTGAGCCTGTTTCCCTTTATGAGACGAGATGGAGGAGCACCTCTAGTTTTTGGCTGCTCATGGCCTCAGTGTTGCTGTTTGGAAGGGAAAAAGAGCAGCAAGGGCAGCAAAGAAAAGTACTAGGGCAGCACCCTTAATTTAGAAATAGATTCCACAGTTAAAAGCACAAATATAATATGCATTAAACAGAGAAGGGCCTCGATAGAACAGTCATAATATGCAAGTATGTCCCACTAGTTTACAATATTTGGATTCCAGAAGCTGCCGGAAATAAGTCATCTCATTAACATACCTACCCACAGCTCTGATGTCTGGCTATGAGTAAACAAGGCCTACGTTTCTCTAAAATTTTGAATCTCAAACTAAATCCTTTATTTCAAAAACAAACATCAAATAATTTCCGAGGCAGAGAAAAGGTCTGAGAAGATGGAAGCTTTCTTGTTAGCAGTTCCTTCCTGCATAAATGGGGTTGGAGAGAGAGGGGAGAAGGAATGGCCAAGGGTGCGGAAAGCCTTCACAATGCATGCCGAGTGTGAAGCGACACCCCCAGCAGATGGGGTTTAGCATCTCTACTTAGTCACACAACATCAAGGACTGGTTAGTTCCAGGGAAGGGCTCCATTTCATCACCTGGGTCAGCTTTCTTCCCCCACATGCTCCACAATTCAGTAGAACCAAACAGCACATTCATCTACAATAGAATGTTTAAATAATACCTGTCCAATAACTGCCCTTACTTTTTTGTGCTGTTGGAAAAGGAAAGAAAAGAAAAAAACAGAAAGCAATAAAACCCAAACCCTTTGGCAAGCCAGCCGGTGCCTATCCTCCTAGGGCATTTTTAGTGGAACTTCGGCTGGGCCTTGCCCTCCTCCCCATGTCTGTGAGGAAGTGGCAGCGGGACAGGTTTGGTCATCTGCACCAGAGTGGAAAGAGAAACCAAACACGATTCGGGCCACAGGTAGATTCTGGCACATTTTTAGATTGGGTTGGTTAAAAATGTCACATTGTGCACAGGACGCAGGCAAAGGAGTTTTTTTTGAGGGACATAATGTCTGTAGGCAGCATGAACGGTCCGATCTACCCTTGGGGAGGAGTTTCCAGCTTAAGCACAGAGAAACTAGGGGGCCTCGAGGAAGGTGTTGGTTCGGAAGATGGAGGAGACGATCTTTCCAGTGGCATTGATGGTGCCTTCGCTGTCTGAGCTGGACTCGGAGTCGCTGCTCCCAGAGTAGGCGCCCAGGCCTGGGAGGATGCCGATACAGACTGCAGCAGAGGGGCAGTGGATGGAGGGGCCGCTCAGGGAAGTGTTTCCGAGAGACTTGCAGGATGAGGCCTCTGCAACAAAAGGGGAAAGACTATCACTTCATCACCCTTTCCCAAAGTTGAGGACTGACATACCATGTGCCAGGCACTGTACCAAAGGCTTTTCCCACAGAGAAGCCTCAGAACAACCCTATGCAGCCAATACTATCATAGCCCTCGATTTAGAGACGGGGAAACTGAAGAAGGAAGGGAGGCTCCAGGAGGTGAAAGGACTTCTGAAAGTAAAGGGGCAGAGCTGAGACTTGAATCAAGGTCTTTTTAACCCCAGAGCCTCACTATACTCTGTTGTTCTCCACCAGCTCTGAGTTGCAGAACAAGCTACTTCAGAGTGTAGCCTAGAGTGCTTTGATTTCCCTGTGCTCACACAACCGTGAAATGGACACATGGGTGGGGGATGAAAGGCTTCCACATGCCCTCAACAGTAGGGATGAAGACAGCTAAGAGAGACACTGTGAGCAGTATTAACAATTCCATTAACTTCTCAGCATATTATGCCATTCCTTACTTACTGACCAATACGCCAGCAAGCACAGATACATATTGAAGGCCAAACAGCAGCTACACAATAACATTTTCTTTTAAAAAATGTTAAAAAACTGGGCAGCCCCTACGACTGGAATAGACTCAGAGGGACTCACCAGAATAATGTTCTATATTAAGGGCCACTTTTCCCTGATGGGAGAGAGGAGTAATTCAGAAACTGATTTAACACAACCTTTGCTTTCTAGTTGTATTCTTTTACAAATGAGAAAACAGAAGCCTGTCAGGTAACATTTTTTTTTTTTTTTGAGATGGAGTTTCGCTCGTTACCCAGGCTGGAGTGCAATGGCGCGATCTCGGCTCACCGCAACCTCCGCCTCCTGGGTTCAGGCAATTCTCCTGCCTCAGCCTCCTGAGTAGCTGGGATTACAGGCACGCGCCACCATGCCCGCTAATTTTTTGTAGTTTTTAGTAGAGACGGGGTTTCACCATGTTGACCCGGATGGTCTCTATCTCTTGACCTCGTGATCCACCCTCCTCGGCCTCCCAAAGTGCTGGGATTACAGGCGTGAGCCACCGCGCCCGGCCATCAGGTAACATTTTAAGGCCATGCAGAATGTCACCTAGGAGCTAAGACTCTTTCTCTTACAGGAAACCCACAGTTGTTCTGCCATCTCAATGACAAAGACCTCAATCTAGACAATGCAGGACTTGGTTGGGCATGGTGGCTCATGCCTACAATCCTAGCACTTTGGAAGGCTGAGATGGGAGGACCACTTGAGGTCCGGAGTTTAAGACCAGCGTGGGCAACATAGTGAGTCCCTGTCTCTACAAGAAAATGTTTTAAAAAATTAGTCGCTGCCGAGCGCAGTGGCTCATGCCTGTAATCCCAGCACTGTGGGAGGCTGAGGTGGGTGGATCACTTGAGGTCAGGAGTTCAAGACCCGCCTGCCCAATATAGTGAAACCCTATCACTACTAAAAGAACAAAAAAATGGGCATGGTGATGCATGCCTGTAATCCCAATTACTAGGGAGAGTGAGGGAGGAGAATAGTTTGAATCCAGGAGGCAGTGGTTGCAGCGAGCCAAGATCGCGCCACTGCACTCCAATCTGGGCAACAGAGCAATACTCCATCTCAAAAAAAAAAAAAAAATTAGTTGGGTGTGATGGTTGTGCCTTTGGTCCCAGCTACTCATAAGGCTGAGGCAAGGATTGCTTAAGCCCAGGAATTCAGGGTTACAGTGGCTATGATGGCACCAGTGTACTCCAGCCTGGAAAACAGAGCAAGACCCTGTTTCAAGGAAAAAAAAAGGAGGAGGAAGAAAGAAAATGGAGGACTTGAAGACTAAAGGGAAAGTTAGAACTCTACTCCAGCCCTTCCCTTTTTCCCTGAAATGTTTCCAGCCTTATTTAATCACTACAATCTGATGTATAGACATCATCCCCATCTTACTGATGAGGAAAGTCAAAGCACTTGGCAAGGTTGTAGGTGGCTTAGGGCAGAAAATGTTAAACTAAATGTGAATTAAATGATAACATACTAAAGTGATCATCTGAGCTCACTGCAGAGTAAGGGTTGGAGTTCGTAGTTCATCGCCACAGGCTAACAAGCATACAACTTTTAGAGTTATGCCTTAGATGTGCTAACACCTCATTTACTCAGACATCTCAAGTAAATGTGAAAAGAATCCACAGCTCCAAGTATAGGAAACCAGGAGTAAGCAAACAATACCACTGAGCAGTTAGAAGAGATATCAAACGGCCACCACACAAAGTTCAGGAGATCAATGTATTTACTTGTTTGTGCAAGAAACTCTAAGAAGGGAAAAGGGAACTGCTAAAGATAAGCAATGTTAAAACACGAAGATGGAGAAAAGTAAAATGAAAGCTGATAATGACTGCAGAGATGGTGAGAGCAAGGCTACAAAAAAAGGCAAGAGCAAATACTTGCAACAAATATCACAAAAGCAAATTTCCTTAAGATACTAAGAGTTCTTCCAAATCTGTTAAAAAAACAACCAACAACTAAATAGAAAAGTGAACAGAAAACATGAACAGCTCACAGAAAAAGAAACAGACAAATTTTAAACATAAGGGGGTAAACAATATATTAGGAGGGAATGTGTTGGGAACAGCAAACTTCATATGTTGTTCGAGGGTACAGAGAAATTTGGCAATGCTCTTCAAACTTAAATGATGTTCATAAGAGAACATTCATTGCAGCACTGTTTACAGTAGTGAAAGACTACAGACACCAATATGTCCATTAATAGATGGCTTGTTAAGTAACGGACTACTATTCAACCATTAAGAAGAATAAAGTAGCTGGGCATAATGGCTCATGCCTGTAATCCCTGCACTGTGGGAGGCCAAAGCAGGGGGATCACTTGACCCCAGGAGTTTGCGGCCAGTCTGGGCAACAGAGGGAGACACTGGCTCTACAAAAAAATTTTAAAAATTAGCAAGGTGTGGTGATATACACCTGTAGTCCCAGCTACTCAGGAGGCTGAGGTGGGAGGATCACTTGAACTGGGGAAGTTGAGGCTGTAGTGAGCCATGATCACACCAACCTGGGTGACTGCACTCCAACTTGGGTGACAGAGCAAGACCCTATTTCAAAAAAGAAGAAGAAGAAAGAAGAAAAAAGTAAAGAAGAAAGAAGAAGAAGAAGAAAGCATCTCTGTGTATACTATTATTGAATGATCCCCAAGATATTGTGCTAAACGAAAAAGGCAAGAGGCAGTACAGTGTGTGAAAGTTATAATTTGGGAGGGAACTGGACATGCCCATGTATATGTATGACAGTGTCTAAGAACAATACATAAAAACTGGCAGCAGTGGCTGCTCAGGGGAAAGGAATTAAGTAGCTGGAAAATGGGGGAGACTTACTTTTTTGAATTTTTCTTTTTCTTTTCTTTTTTTTGAATTTTTCTTTTTCCACATTCTTTTGAATTTTTCTTTTCTTTTATTTCTTTGAGAACATAGGTCTCACTATGCTGCCCAAGTTAAATTCCTGGGCTCAAGTAATCTTCTTGCTTCAGCCTCCCAGAGTGCTGGGATTACAGGAATGAGCTATCTCACCTGGCCTAAATGTTTTATTATGTGCATATGTTACCAATTCAGACAACTTTTTAACACTTAGCTGTGCTTGGGTAGACAATTTTTTTAAAAAGCAAATACAAAAATTCAAAGAACATCCTAAGCCACTTAAACTAAGGAGGAATAGTTCCATTTATCTCAGTATCCCAGTATGAAAGCTTCTAAGAAGGCAGAGGAGAAGGGTTGCTTGTTTGTATTCTCCACTAACTGTAAGCCCCTTGAAGGCAAGAGCTCTTTTATCACCATTCCACTTCCAGGACATACAGCACAGGGTCTGGCTCAGAGCAAGCTTGCATTCACAAGGGTCAGAAGTCAGAATGCAGGAAAATGTGTTAGTTTACAGAGTTTCATTGCAGTTGGCTAATTTGGGAGGAAAGCGTATAAAAATGTGATGCTCTTGTAACATTTGGGACATAACATCAATCATGACTTAAACATGCATTGTATTACTTATGTATACCATATAGAATGATACTTTCAGCATTCTATTAGAAAAATTTGGTTGTTTAAAAAAAAAAAAAAAAAAAAACCGGCCAGGAGTGGTGGCTCACGCCTGTAATCCCAGCACTTTGGGAGGCTGAGGCAGGTGGATCATCTGAGGTCAGAAGTTTGAGACCAGCCTGGCCAACATGGGGGAACCCCATCTCTACTAAAAATACAATAATTAGCCGAGTGTGATGGTGCATGCCTGCAATCCCAGCTACTTGGTGGCTGAGGCAGGAGAATCACTTGAGCCTGGGAGGCGGAGGATCGTGCCACTGTACTCCAGCCTAGGTGACAGAGCGAGACTGTCTCAAAAAAAAAACAACAAAAACAAAACACCAAAAAACCTTATAAGGGTATATATATCAGTTACTTCGAAAACTAACTTATGTGAAATTGTTGAATGAGATATTTCATTTTATCAAGTACAATCACCCTTGCTTAATGATGGGGATCTGACCTGAGGAATGCATCATTAGACAATTTTATCATTATGAACATCATAGAGTACTTATGCAACCTAGATGGTACAGCCTACTACACATGTAGGCCATATGGTATACAGCCTATTGCTCCTAGGCTACAAACCTGTTCAGCATGTTACTGTATGAATACTGTAGGCAGTTGTAATACAATGCTCAGTAGATGTAAGCACAGAAAAGGTACAGTAAAAATATGGTATCATAATTTTATGGGACCACTGTCATATAAGCACCCTTCATTGAGCAAAATGCCGTTATGTGGCACATGACCATGTTTCAAGGATGAATGGAATTGAAAGGTCTATTTTACACACAAAAGAAGGATGGAAGTCAGAGTGCCTGTGGGGTTAGAGAGCTGGCCGAACGGAAGGATGGAAGTTAGCTACAGAAATATAATCAAGGAATCTGGACCACTGTGGCATCAGAAGAATTTACATGAAAAGACCAAATATCCCAATTATCTAGGAGGTTTCAAGAAAGAAAAGAGATTGCAACTCTGACAAATTTCATTCCAAAAGCAGTTAACTGTCCAAAGAGAACAAAATGGTGCCCTCTGATCTCACCCATTTGGTGAAGTTTCCTGCCAACTTCTGCATTTGCAGGACCACATTGTCATACCAAATTAACACAGAAAATTACTAATAGAGAATGTTCTTAGTATTCAGACAGATGCGTGACTTGGGAGTAGATGGGGCCAACTTGTGCATTCACTGGCTCTGCTCAGTGCTTAAGTTCAGAGTCTTCAGTGGGGGAAGCCTGAATCTCTATCAGGGTCATAGGGTTATCTTCTGGGAGTCCAAGGGGCAAATCCTCCTACTGCCAAGGGCAAGACTGAAGCAAGCCTCAGGGGGCGTTCTTTTTGTGGGGCCTTAAGTCCTAGCAAAGGAGGACACTTCCTGCCTAGTTTCTGTTGCAGGAATGCAGAAGTAGGAAGAAGGGATTTAGAATGACAAAAAGATGGCTCTGAAACACAAGTGTCTGCCTGAGATAGTTCAAAGAAGCCACACAAATTTTCCTTTCCAATTATTAATTCATATAGTTCCTACCAGAAAATAAGTACCATGCAAAAGGCAACTAGTTTACTCGTGGAAATACGCTTAAGATTCCTATGCCAGGAGCATTTAGCCCCAGCTACTCAGGAGGCTGATGTGGGAGGATCACCTGAGCCTGGAAGTTTGTGGCTATAGTGTGCCATGATCGCACCTGTGAAAAGTCAAAGCACTACAGCCTAAGCAACAAAGTGAGATCCCATCTCTAAAAAAATTAAAAGAAAAATATTCCTATGAAGTTTTGTGCATGTATGTGTATTCACATACGCAGTATACATTTATCCTATTTAACCAAGTTTCCTATTTATTAAAAAGATGTCAGTGAAAAATTCCAAAATTGCTGATTGAGTATAAATTGGGATAACTTATCTGAAGGGCGATTTGGCAATATTTACCTAAATTACAAATGCATATCCTCTCTGACCTATCAAGTCTACTTCAAAGCATTTAACCTGATATATCTGTGCAAGTGAAAAATTATGCACATGCAGGATTATTACTGAAACATCAGAACAGGGGAAGAATTAAGTGTTCAATTAAAAAGTCGGATAAATATACTATGATATACCCACACAATATACAATACTATACAGCCTTAAAAAGGAACAAGGAAGCACTTTATGTCCAATTATGCCATGATTCCCAAGGTACAATTACTGCTGAATTAAGCAATGAATAGAGTAGATTACATTAAAATACTACTAATAATGAAAGTATCAAAACAATATATGACGTATTCTTGCTGAAAAAACCAACTTGATCAAGCTTCCAGATCTAATTACCATTTTACAGGAGTAGCAGGAAACAGCATGGGGATGCAATCAGCTAAATCTAGAGCCTGAGGAACGTTGAAGAACAAAGACCCAGTTTCTCCACAAATAAAATACAAAGAAAACAAAATATAAATTCAGAAAGAACTTAGAGATTAAATTCAAATTAAAAGGTATATTAGCCTATCGTTAAGATGATATAAAATGGCAATATTGCCAAAATTATCTACAGATTCCAAAAATTCCTGTATCAAAATCTTAGCTAGCTGCCTTTTCTGCAGAAACTAACAAGCCGATCCCAAAATTCATATGGAAATGCAAGAGACTCCAAATAGCCAAAACAATCTTGAAAAAGAGGAGCCAAGTTAGAAGACTCATACTTCCCAATTTCAAAACTTACTCCAAAGCTAGAGTGATCAAGAGAGTCCAGAAATAAACCCACATTTATGGTCAACAGATTTTTTTAAATATATAAACCACTGAGTTGTACACTTTATAGGGTGAATTTTATGATATGTGAATTATACCTCAATAATTTTTTTAAAAAGCCATAGTAGCCAAATATAAGGTCTGGTCCTTGCTTAAATCATAATTTTTAAAAAGAAAAAACTTTTTTTTGAGATAATTGGAGAAGATAAATACTAAATAGATATTTGGTAATTATTATTATTAATATAATGGTATTGTAATTGTTAAAGAAACAAAATAAGAACTTGTATTTGCTAGAGACACATATTAAGAATTATGAATAAAATGATATAATGTCCAAAATTGTCACAAAATATTACAGTTGAGAGATATAAATGAAATAAAATTGGCTATGTGTTAAAAACTGTTGACTGGTGTGGTGGCTCATACCTGTATTCCCAGCACCTTGGGGGGCTTAGGCAGGCGGGTCACTTTCGGCCAGGAGTTTGAGACCAGCCTGGCCAACATGGTGAAACTCCGTCTCTACTAAAAGTACAAAAATTAGCTGGGCATGGTGGCACATGACTATAGTCTAGCTACTTGGGTGGTTGAGGCATGAGAATTGCTTGAACCGGGAAGGCAGAGGCTGCAGGGAGCCAAGATCATGCCACTCTACACTCTAGCCTGAGTGACTCTGTCTCAAAAAAAAAAAAAAAAAAAAAAAAAATTGTTGAAGCTCTTTCCTATAGGAGATAGCTTACAAAGAAAAAAAAAGTCACTGAAGCTAGGTGATGGAGGTTTATTATACTTATCCCAACTTCTGAATACATAAATTATCCATAATAAAGCATTTAAAAAATACATACTTACAATTGCTTGTACATCATAGAATAGCTCTTGATGGATACATTAAGAAATGTGGCCGGGCTTGATGGCTCACTCCTGTAATCCCAGCACTTTGGGAGGCTGAGGCAGGCAGATCATTTGAGGTCAGGAGTGCAAGACCAGCCTGGCCAGCATGGTGAAACCCCATCTCTACTAAAAATACAAAAATTAGCCAGGTGTGGTAGCATGCACCTGTAATCCCAGATACTTGGGAGGCTGAGGCAGGAGAATGACTTAAGCTCAGGAGGCAGAGATTGCAGTGAGCTGAGAATGGGCGACTACACTCCAGCCTGGGTGACAGAGTGAGACTTCATCTCAAAAAACAAAATGATATAATTCTGCTTCCCTCTAAGAAGAGCTAGATGGGAGAGGATATGGATAAAAGGTAGACTCTTCAGCCGGGCATGGTGGCTCACGCCTGTAATCCAAGCACTTTGGAGGCCAAGGCAGGCGGATCACCTGAGGTCGGGAGTACAAGACCAGCCTGACCAACAAGGTGAAACCCTATCTTAAAAAAAAAAAAAAAAAAGGTAGACTCTTCCTTTCATTTTATTATTATTATTATTATTTTTTTTTTCAGAAAGAAAAGTAGGTTCTTTTTAAAAGTAGGTTCTACAGCAAAAGGGTAACAGCAATAGCCCACTGCCACTGGCACTTAGTAGATGCATATTAAAAAGCATCATTTTTTTTTGAGAGAAATTAATGTAAGCCCTGTTGATCCATGGAATTTAGTTCAGTGTCTCAACCCCACACGGAGTTAGATTAAAAATGAAAACACACTCTTGAATTTCTCATCCCTAATCCAGCCCCCAGTAACATTCACCTTCACTTACAACTTCTTGCCACTTAATACAGAGACAGATTTCCTTACATAAAGGTAAGCACCAAGGAAGTATACTCTTAGAAACTATTAAGCTTCTAGGCTCAATCCAATCCAACAATGAGCAGGAGCCAGGTATTTACCTCCTGTTAGGTAGCAAGCCAGGTGAAATAAAAAAAGTGACATTTGGGAGAAACAGAAAAAAACTTTTTGTAAGCAGAGGTGATACGATGACCAGGGCCTGGTAAGCATTCCTGGGAGAGTACTATTTTCACTGATCAGTTTCACTGTTTCTACCATAATAACCTTTGCAGGTATAAAATCCTGCCTGGTATAAACTCTTACCTGGCTGACAAACTCTTGCCTGGTATAAAATCTTGCCTGGCATAAAATAGTTGGGTAAATTAAACCTAGGTAGGCTTGCTTAAAGACAGAAATGTATTCATTTGCAGATGCAATGCATTCCAGCCCTTTACTGTGGTTCATCTGTATTATGAGTATGAGAAAGCAATGAAGGCTGCCACCCACCTTGATTCTTGTCATCTGGCTCAGGGTCCGGTTTCAGTCTTTTCACACTGTTGCCACTCTCTGAGCTGCAACAAAACACATGGTGATGTGAGCTATGTCTAATCTTGGGGATCAAAGCTTAGGGAATCAGGAGCTCCAATAACTATTTATACGGGTCTTAGGCAGTCTCAAGAAACTGGGATGATAAAAATGAATGAAAAGTATTCATTTCAGATTCTTAATCTCCTTCCAATTGCATCATTAGTCATAAAGACAATTTAAACTCCTGACAAATCCAGGGAGTAAAGCACTGTATTTTCAAGCATCACTTCAAACTTCAGATTCAGATTCTTGGCTGTCTTTATCACTCAAATTGGTTAGAATCACAGATGGATTTCAAGAGTATTTAGACATGTTCACAAATGACAAACATTTAGTAATTACAGATTGAAGAAAACATCTTCAGTAACATGCCAGAGATTCTAAGAGTCACCCAAAAGATTTTTCACTAAAAGAATGTATAAGGAATATATTTCAGTGAAGAACGAAATGATCCCAGAAGGAAGGGGTGGTGAACAAAGAAACTGGCAAACACAAATATAAATCTAAACAAATACTGTCTGTATCAAAAAATAACATCTAGTTTGTGGTGTTCAACATGACCATACTGAAGTCCTGCACAACAGCAGCATGTAAAGAAGGAAGAGGTGATTGTAGCTAAAGGTTCTAAGGTCCGTGGGAAGTATGTCTGGTAAATTTCAAGGTTGGCCACTATGAGAAAAAAAAGTATGTAAATCTAACTAGTACAAAGAAAAAAATGAATGAAAGAATTTTATATCTCAGTCATTTTGTTAAATGCAAGAATACAAGTTAAAAAAAAATTTTTTTAAGACAGAGTTTCTCTATTGCCCAGGTTGGAGTGCAATGTCGCAATCTCGGCTCACTGTAACCTCCACCTCCCAAGTTCAAGTGATTCTCCTGCCTCAGCCTCTCGAGTAGCTTGGATTACAGGCGCCCACAGGATGCCTGGCTAATTTTTGTATTGTTTTAGTAGAGATGGGGTTTCACCAGGTTGGCCAGCCTGGTCTCGAACTCCTGACCTCAGGTGATCCACCACCTCGGCCTCCCGAAGTGCTGGGATTACAGGCATGAGCCACTGCACCTGACCTCAGCGACAGTGCGTGCCAGGAAAAATATTTTTTTAAAGTCAAAAGACATTAATATGATAGAAATTATATTTTAAAATTTTACTATAAACAGACCAAATCTACTAATGAAAAGCTATTAATAGACTAAATTAATTATCTTATTTGTTTATTTATTTATTTATTGTGAGATGGAGGCTTGCTCTGTAGCCTAGGCTGGAGTGCAGTGGCACAATTTCAGCTCACTGCAACCTCCACCTCTTGGAATCAAGCGATTCTCCTGCCTCAGTCTCCTGAGTAGCTGGGATTACAGGCATGAGTATTTTTAGTAGAGATGGGGTTTCTCCATGTTGGCCAGGCTGGTCTCGAACTCTTTACCTCAAGTAATCCACCCGCCTCAGCCTCCCAAAGTGTTGGGATTACAGGCCTGAGCCACCACGCCCAGCTTTAATAGACTAAATTTAAAAGCAACTATTTATAAGAGACACATCTAAAAACTTAACCAAAGTGAAACAAAAACAAACAACTTAATACCCAGAAAGTTTCAAAGTAAAAGAACTGAGAAAGAGGTACTAAGGCAAATCACCTAAAGAAGGTTGAAGCACCAATATTAATATTAGGAAAATAGGCTTTAAGAACAAAAGCACTGTAAAGGATTAGAAAGGTTACTTTAGGCCAGGCTCAGTGGCTCAAGCCTGTAATCCCAGCACTTTGGGAGGCCGAGGTGGGTGGATCACTTGAGGTCAGGAGTTCAAGACCGGCCTGGCCAACATGGTAAAACTTCGTCTCTACTAAAAATACAGAAACTAGCCAGGCATGATGGTGGGTAGCCTCAGCTACTCGGGAGGCAGAGGCAGGAGAATTGCTTGAACCCAGGAGGCGGAGGTTGCAGTGAGCTGAGATTGTACTACTGCACTCCGGCCTGGGTGATAGAGCAAGGTTCAGTCTCAAAAAAAAAAAAGATTACTTTATAACAAAAGTCTGATTAACTATAATGAAATAACTATTCTGAACATATATGTATCTAATTAAAGAGCTTAAAATATACATTTGACGGAATTATGAAAAGAAATCACTATTATAGTGGGAATTTCAAAACACTTATCTCAAGAACTGATAGGGCAAACAGACAAATACATAAGGACACAGAAGATGTAAATAATACCAGTGATCAAACTTGATTTCTTTTTTTTCCTACACAGAACCAATAATTAAAAAACATAGATTCTCCTCAAACTTAACTTGCAATATTCACAAACATTATTAACCTCAGGAACAGGTAATAAAGCAAGTCTAAAACAACTTTAAAAGAAGCCATGTGGGGCGGGTTCAGTGGCTCACACCTGCAATCCCAGCACCTTAGGGGACTCTGGGGGAGGATCGCTTGAGCCCAGGAGGTCGAGACCATACTGGATAACACAGAGAAACCTTGTCCTCATTAAAAATAAAAAAATTAGGCCGGGCGCGGTGGCTCAAGCCTGTAATCCCAGCACTTTGGGAGGCCGAGGCGGGTGGATCACGAGGTCAAGAGATCGAGACCATCCTGGTCAACACGGTGAAACCCCGTCTCTACTAAAAATACAAAACATTAGCTGGGCATGGTGGCGCGTGCCTGTAATCCCAGCTACTCAGGAAGCTGAGGCAGGAGAATTGCCTGAACCCAGGAGGCGGAGGTTGCGGTGAGCCGAGATCGCGCCATTGCACTCCAGCCTGGGTAACGAGCGAAACTCCGTCCCAAAAAAAAAAAAAAATAAAAATAAAAAAATAAAAAAATTAGCCAGGTGTGGTGGCACATGTCTGTATGTACAACTACTTGGGAGGCTGGGGTGGGGAAGATCACTTGAGCCCCAGAGGTCGAGGCTGCAATGAGCCATGATTGTTCCACACACTCCAACCTGGGGGACAGAGAAACACCCTATCTCCCAAAAAAAAAAAAAAAAAAAAGAGGCCTGGAGCAGTGGCTCATGCCTTAATCCCAGGACTATGGGAGGCTGAGGCAGGCGGATTACCTGAGGTCAGGAGTTTGAGACCAGCCTGGCCAACAGGGTGAAACCCCATCTCATACAACATTAGCCAGGTTTGGTGGTACACGCCTGTAATCCCAGCTACTTGGGAGGATGAAGCAGGAGAATTGCTTGACCCAGGAGGCAGAGGTTGCAGTGAGCCAAGATCGTGCCATCATACTCCAATCTGGAAAAAAAAAGGAAAACCCAAACACAAAAAAAAAAAAAAAAAAAAAAAAAAGAAAAGTAAAAAGAACAAGCAGTATATATAAAATCACACTGCAATTAAGTTAGAAATCAATGACAAAAGAGAAACATATTTTGTAGCCTCTAAAACACTGTTATATATATCAATATACCATCATAAGGTATTAAAATGTGTGTGTGGTGAAGAGAAAGGTTTATCTTCCCCCTCAATTAAATATGGTTATTACCTCAATATGGAGATTTAAAAAATACATTTCTAAATAATTCCTGAGTCAAAGATGAAATCATAATAGATATTTTAAAATACTTAGAAGGAAATCTAAAAATTATATACCATGAAAGCTGAGGAAAATTTATAGCTTCAGATATCTGTAACTGAAAAGGCTGCACGTTCATGAGCTAGGTATCTGACAGTTTTTTCTAACAATAAATAAAAGAATAAAGTAGAAGAGATTAAAGAATATTCCTCTGAAGAAGGTAAGAAATTGCTGCTTGTTTGTTCTTATGCTTCATGACCTATACATGCCAATGGCTTCCAGACCTTCACCAGGCAGCAGAATCACTCATTGAACTTTGAAAACTACGACTCCCAGACTTCACTTCAAACTTACTGAGCCACAATTAGTGTGAGGCCTGTGAATATACATTATTAACAAACTCCCAGTGATTCCAATAAACCCAGGGTCGGATAGATTAGGAACTCCTGCCCCAGGAGACTAATTCAACACCTTGTTACACAAAGCAACATTAAATGATGTTGTTTCAACACCCAAAAGGGGTTATATGCCAAATAACCAAATAAACGACTACAGAGCCTTTCCTAAAGGTGATCTAAGAACTAAGGGAGACAGTTACAACACCCATTCTGCGACCACCAAGAGCAGTCTCAGGGAATAACAAACTGATCACCAGGAGAGCCCTCCCTAGGCATATTCCAGTAAAACTGACCCAGGTCCAAGTTCTGAGAGTCCCTGGCCTTGCAAGAAAGCTTATGTGAGAACTTGAAAGGAATTATGATTCATGGTTTGGGTAACAAGCCCGTCTCAGGATAACTCCTCCCCTCTGCTGCTATACCAGGATGACATTTTTACATGTAGGCAGTGTTCCTAAGAACATCTGCAGCAGATGGGTGGAGTGCCAAACCACAAGACTGCATCAATACACTCCCTTCAAAAACATATGGCTGGTTGCCAATACACCATATTGATTTTCCTAACAGACTGCACTTAAACTTATCATTTCACCCATGGTCTGTTGGGTCAAATCAAAATGACCAGATTCAATCACTCTGATGCCATTTCAGGATTTGGAAAGGGAGGAGCAAACATAGCAAAGAACTTATCACAGCCTCAAGATAGTGCAGTCACTTCCACATCCATGAAACCTAGCCACAGCCAGGTCTGTAACCCTGTCAGGGCTGCCATGTTTTTTCAGGACATGATGCTTTCGCTGAAGCTGTTCCCTCTGCCTAGACTGTTCTCTCCCTTGTTGCTTGTCAAAGCCCTAGTCATCCTACCTAATCAGCATCTTTCCAACGTTTTCCCCAACCTCCCCAAGATGAAGACGCACACACCCTCTAAGCAGCATGTATGCTCCTCCTCCTTGCTCTCAGTACACCCTACACAGATCCTTTCACAAGAATCGTTACCTCATTTGTCTAGACAGAAGCCCAAATATTGAACTCCAGCTCTCTATTTCTGTATGATCTTGCACAAAGAAGGTTCTCAACCTCTCAAACTCTTGGTCTTCTCATCTACAAAACAGGGACTATAATTGTACTTCATAGGATTGTTGAAGAATAAATAAGATTATGCACAGGAAGCACTTGATACAATCCCTGGCATGGCAGACGCCCACTGAAATGCAGCTGTTATTTATATTTGTTGAATGAATGATCAGAGAGATGAGAGTCAAAGCCTATAGAAGACACCAAATCTGGAAGGAGAGAGAGAGGTCAGCACACCAAGGGAACTTCACCAAGACTCATGTGAGGTAAGCGTTGGCTCTGGCTACCATTAAAAGTGATGTTTCAGAGTACGTGGTCAGAGTGAAATCTCAGTTGTGTGAATGCTGACTGACCTCTTATGCTTCACAGCTCCTGCCAACAGCTTTGCCTGGGAGAACTTGTTCTTGGTTTCCATGGGCTTTACAGTCAGTTTCTTCTCCACTTCCTTCTTGTTCTCTTGAGAAATTCCAACCTTCTTGAGATTATTGTGAGTTACCGGTTAAGGGTCAAACCAAGCAAAAGGAAGGACAACAAATATAACCCACTAGCTCTTTGGCTGCGCTATGTAAAGTCTGGCCTACTTATTTTCAAAATGCCCCACCCTTCTTTCGCCAGTCAAATCCAGCTGATTCAACGATAAATGAAAGAGACCATGGAGGAAGACAGCATATAAAGCCCAAAATAATACAGAGAAGCAACCTCTTTCTCTGATTCTCAATGAAAATCTGAGCATAGCCACAAAACCCGCTATTACCAAGGATATGGCCAGTATAATGGTTGATGGAAAAAACAAAGCTCTTAAGGAAAATACAGGAAACAGAAAAAAAAATTGTGGCTTCCCTGAAAACATGCTTCCCCTTCAAGGGTAAAATCAAATTTTACAGAATGTTGTTATGACTATCAGTGGCATTTAATCTTAGACATCATGAAGAGTAACTCCTGCTCCACTGGTGGAAGGAAACATCAGAATCACCCCAAGGCTCATTAAACATGTCAAGGCTCTCCCTGTCCCAAACCTATTGAACGAGGACCTCTAGAGGCCCTGGAGTTTGTTTTAAACACTCTCCAAAGGTGATTTTACACTTGATCTTAGCCAAAAGGTCGAGAAGTGATCAAAAGTGATTTTAATGAGAAATCCTGTGCATATATACAAGAACTAAAAAGCCATTTTTAAAAGCATAACCAGTTCGCATGTAACATCAGTTTTTCATCAGTTGATGCCAATCTCTGGCTCTCAACTTTTTTTTACTCTTTTGAAGTGAAGAAAGGCCCATAACTTTTGTTAGGAGGTCACTTTCACTTGTTCCCTCCATGAGCCCTCCCTTCTTTCCATCCATCTCTCCCTCCGTTTTATCTTTCTCACAACTTCTTAGACAACAGATAAGTATTCTGACATGGTGCAAGTCCTTATTTAAGATGCAGTAGTGCCTGGTACAATAGTGACATCTAGTGCCCAAGAAATCTAAGCAGCATGAATTATCGGCCCAAAGGGGTGGGTGGAAGTAGAGGATGTATGGTTAAGGCTATTTGTCTATGTGTCTGAAAAATGGAGAAAACTGAGTTCCAGAAATCACAAAATTCTAATTCTAATCACTCTTTGGCAACTAACTCTGTTCTTATGGACACAAGTTACCTTAAATATTTGCAGTATGCAATGGAAATTAGGTATAATGCTCAGTGCTATTATGAGTTTCATGAATTTAATGTTTTTAGGGTTATCATGGAAACAGATAATGCTAATACTCATTTTTCTTTAATAAAAAGTGATTGGCTGGGTGCAGTGGCTCACGCCTGTAATCCCAGCACTTTGGGAGACCGAAGTGAGAGGACCATCTGAGGTCAGGAGTTCGAGACCAGTCCGAGCAATATAATGAAACCCCATCTCTATTAAAAATACAAAAATTAGCTGGGCATGGTGGCATGTGCCTATCAACCCAGCTACTCAGGAAGCTAAGACAGGAGAATTGCCTGAACCCAGGAGGCAGAGGTTGCGGTGAGCCAAGATCGTGCCAGTGCACTCCAGCCTGGGAAACAAGAGTGAAACTCTGTCTCAAAAAAACAAACAAACAAAAAAATGTATTGCCAACAGTAATTTCAGCTGGAGTGCTTAGGAAAGGTCTCTAAAAGGGAGAACTGAGTGTTAGGGAAGGTCTCTAAAAGCGAGAGCTGAGCAGAGGGCTGAGCTGTGAAATGCGTCTTGCAAAATCGGAGGGCAGAACATTTCAGGCTGAGGAAACAGCAAGTCTGAGGCCTTGAGATGGACTCACAAAGCATGGTGAGAGAGAACGTGAAGAAGTCCAGCAGGCTGGAGTACAGTCAACATGAGGAAGAGTGGCTTCAAGATGCAACAGGGAGGTGGGTTGGCCTAAATAATGCAGAGCCTTGTAGGGCCTGACACAGAGTAAGACTTTAGTCTAATTGTAAGGGGAAGCCACTACAGTGTTTCAAATAGAAAAGTGACATGATGCCATGTATGGTTTTTAAAGTTCCCTTTCCTGTCTAACGAATAGATTATTGAGGATGAGGGCAGAAACGGAAACCAATTAGATGGTCACAGCAGTCCAGAAGAAAGTCTACAACTACTACAGTAGCAGTAGATGCCAAGAATTGAAGAGATTTGGAGTACATTTTGGAAGCAGTTCTTGGCCCAGGAACCTAGAGGCATAGGACCACCAGTTACTAGGACTGGAAGGACCAGAAAAAGAAGAGACTGTGGGGAAGGGCAGTGTGATGAGAGTGGGAGTGATGTGGTACAGAACTGGGAATTCCGATTCAGCAAAGTTACATTTGGGATGTCTATTAAGACATTCAAGTGGATGACCAAAAGGCAATACTGAGTCAGAGCAAAGTCATCTTTGCTACTTTCTCAGCCCTTCTATGGGGACACAGCATGCTATACCAGTAGAGAACATCTACTAAGAATATAGGAAAGTTGCTAACATGTTCTTTATAACTCAGAAGCCAATTTCTCCCCTGGAAGAGGCTGACTGCACTGCCCACCTGTCTCAGAGTCTAATCCCACAAGGCAAGAATACCCCAGTACTGACAATTAGGGTTGATGCCTTGAGTTAACCCTAAAGGACGTAGACTTTTGACTACAACACTCTTGCACACAATACAAACTCCACAAACTACTGCCCACTTTTCAGAATTACAGGAATATCAGTGTTGAAAGAGACTTGAGAGATCACCAGGTAGAAAACCCTCTTTCTGTTGATGAGGAGACAACATCCATAGATGCTGATGAGAAAATACACACCTTACAGGTTTTCCTCCAAGTACAAAGGATATTCTGTATTCCTTCAGTTCTTTCAGTTCTTCTTCTCTTCGTTGCTTTTCTATTAGTTCCTGCTGTCGAGAAACCTCATCAAGGAAGTTGGTCTCATCTTCATCTAAGCCTCTTACCATGTTTTCTGAGGAAATAATTAAACAAGGAACACTTAGCAGGCTAAAGGGAAAAATAAGATTTTTCCTTTCCCCTTTTTTAATAAACAGCAGATTCTTCAGGGGATTAAGAAAAAAAACTGGTAAATACCATGGCGTTTGAATAGATAACAGGGCATAACAAATAAGGCATTTTTCCCATTACTAAATATTACCATAGAATTAAAATGGGTGTTTTGAGCTCTAAACAAAAATATTCAATGTGGTCTAGAAGGCTGAAGGCTGTCTCTTTTCCACCACATGAGCATCAGGAGATTTGAAAATCAAGACAATTCCATGGCTAGTTAGGAAAAGTGCTGCATGAGGCAAAAGTACGTCAAAAATATCCCGCAGAGCCCCCTGAACTCTGTTTTCTGAAGCTTACTGAATTTGAACTGTTCCTCATACTCCTGCTGCTTCCTGTCCTTCTGTTCCTGTAGCCTCTCATATAGAGATCGGGGGTCATAAACCTCCTCTGGACATTCTGAAAGGAAAAGAAGGGGGGAGAGAGGCAGAGGGGAAGGAGATATATACTTTAGTTTGTTTTCATATTATTTTGGAATCACAAAAGGTTTTAAAGACAAAGTCAGGTCTCTGCATGATCTGAGGATGAGGATAACACAAAAATAGTACAAAGTCCAGTTTCCCTTTGGACCTAAGAGAGGGCCAACAGTTCTCAAAGCCAACTCTCAATGTCAATAGCACCCATGGCCTGAGGCAGTTAACTGACTGAAGGGCCAGCCCAAACCTTCCACAGCAGCAGTGTTCTCAGTTGTTCAGATCATGGATCCACATGTATAGATGGAGGAGAGGAGCAGAACCTTTTGGAAGGCAGTGTGGTAGGCAGAAAAAGGACACGATGTGAGTACCTGGCTCTCTCCCAGCTGTGCAGGACCTTAAATAGGTGACTTCACCCCTCCCAGTCTCAGTTCCTCAACTCTAAAGTGAGGACAATTGGCTAGGCATGGTGGCTCATGCCTGTAATCCCAGCACTTTGCGAGGCTGAGGCGGGAGGATGGTTTGAGCTCAGGAGTTCAAGACCAGCCTGGCCAACAAGATGAAACTCTGTCACTACTAAAAATACAAAAATTAGCCAGGCATGGTAGCAGGCGCCTGTAATCCCAACTACTCGGAAGGCTGAGGCAGGAGAATCTCTTGAGCCCGGGAGGCGTTAAGTTGCAGTGGGCCAAGATCGTGCCACTGCACTCCAGCCTGAACAACAGAGGGAGACTCCGTCTCAAAAAAATAAATAAAATACAGTGAGGACAATTAATATCTACTCTACAGGGCTGCTGTGTGGATTAAAGACCATTATACGAATGTCACAGTATACCTTTTGGATCCTCAGGTTTTCGAACTTTCTCCCATTCTTCTTGCCTCCTTTTGCGCCGTTCATCTAGTTCTGCCTCAGACACAAACCTCTTTTTGATAACAAGGTTACCATCATCCCCTCCATCCATAATGGAACAACCAACCTATAAAACAGAAACAACAACAAAAAATTAATTTCAAGTGAGAACTGCAATTAAATTTCTAAAGAGAAACAAGGAGATTTAGCTCTGTTTCACCCAGCAGCAAACTAAAAATTATCTTCCCACTTTGAATCGAAAAAAATTCTCAAATAGTAATTTATAGGCCATTGAAGAAAGCAAGTGAATACATTTTTCCTAACACATCAGGGACTTTTTATTAGCATCAATGTTATCTACACAGCAAGAGGACCTGGAATAATTCTTATTACCTGGTGTTCCATAGTAACTCTTACATTGCAGATATTTCTCTGTCCCTCTAATCTAGGCAAATTGGTCTCTTGGGCATCCTATCCTTTTCCCAGCTCTCATCCTCCTTTATTTCTGTAACATCTGACATTGTTTCTTCTTGAAATTCCTGTTTCGGGGACATTACACTATCTTGATTCACCTGCTCTTGCCTCCAAGTAGATTAAGATGGAGAATCTCAGCTATTGAAGACTTAGTGATCAACTCCAGTCCGCATAGCAGGGAAGGTGCAAAACCATGAATGGAGAAAGTGCAACTGGAAGAACCAATATTCCAACTTCAGTTCTGTGTACTTTCCTGAATATTAAGCTGACTCTTCATTTATATCTCTTGGGACCTTCCTCCCTGTAAACCCTTGTCTGTGGCATTTAAGATTCTAACCAATCCTTCTCTTTTCTCACTCCCACAATCACCTAAACCACTTTATGCATATTTTGACACAGAAGACTCTCAAATCTGTTATTTCTACCTGAGTTTTTCTTCAAAAAGGAAAGAAGGAAATAAAGATAGAAGACTGTGTATTATTCCTTTTTTTTTTTTTTTGAGATGAAGTCTGGCTCTGTCGCCCAAGCTGTAATGCAGTGGCAAGATATCAGCTCACTGCAACCTCCACCTCGTGTGTTCAAGTGATTCTCCTGCCTCAGCCTCCTGAGTAGCTGAGACTACAGGTGTGTGCCACCATGCCTGGCTAATTTTTGTATTTTTAGTAGAGACAAGATTTCACTATGTTGGCCAGTCTGCTCTTGAACCTCTGACCTCAAGATCCGCCTGCCTCAGCCTCTCAAAGTGCTGGGTTACAAGTGTGAGCCACTGTATACTTTTCTTTATTGGTTTCTTTCCTTTTGAGTAACTGTAGAATTAACCCACTAGGCAGACATGTTATGTGTTATTCACAGCACTATGCGCTAACAAGGAGACACATATTCAATACAATGACCATTCCTAGATGACTACTGACAACAAAAACAGTAAATTTCCACGCTACCACAAAAATAAAGCAGCTAACCGTTAATGTGCTCTTACCATGTACTATATACTTTTTATGGATTTTATCTCGTTTACATGCTCAGTGACCCTATGAGAAATATTATATCTGTTTACAGGTGAAATTGAGATCCAGAGAAGTTCAATTATTTGTCTAAGGTGATACAGGTGGTGAATGGTAGGGCCAAGAACCAAATCCAGGCCTGACGTCAAGAATTCATACTCCCACCAACTTCACCATACTCCTCCCCAGAAACCACTAAATCTTGGTTGAAAACAAAGACATGTCAATTTCAGCTTTCTTCCTACTTCAAATTCCAGTGCTGAGAATATTCATGCAACATTTTTATTTAGTAAAGCTAGAAATGGAAGCTGAAAGAACAAACCGAAACCTTCAGAATAAGAGTATAGTCTTAGCCTGAATACTACTGAGGTTTAATGTAACAATAAGACAGAATTGTGACGTTTAATGTAACTTGCTGAGGTTTAATGTAACAATAATAAGACAGAATTGTGAAAATTACTAGAAAGAAATGAAATCAACTGACAGACGCTGTTGCTCCCACCTAAAGCCCACAACATGGACACTTCTGATTTAGCAGCACTTGATGACTCCAGCCAGAGGCTCTTTACTGAAGCAGAACTGTTCAGTTTCTGTGAAAATGCCAAAAATTCCTCAAGTTCTGCAGAACAACCTCTTATGAAACCAGAGCCAACAATTTCTTCAATGTCTCTGGCAGAGAAAACGTGAACTTTCTAGGGCTCTAATGGTTGGGAGAGACATTCTGAACCCTCAATTTCCCCCTTGCTTATCCCCTATTAACTGTTCAGTCTCCTTTCTTACCCTGTATTAATCATCTGGTTTCTTTCCGTCACCCATTTTTCCTAGCAAATAATTCAGAGTGGGATAGCTCCTTATAGCCCACCTAATATGATAATCCACTCGACATCTGAATTTACCATACACACCCAGGTCATCCAACTCATATATTAAAACTTCAGGAGGGGACACTGCACTCCCTTCCTAGGCAGCCAATTCCCTCTAAGCAGATTTGACTGTTAGGATAGTTCTTCCTTAAACTGAACTAAAATTTGTTTTACTATAAATTCAACACATAGGTTCAATACACTGGGACTATTCAAAAAGAATCAAATCTTTTCCAACATGACCATACTTCAGTTGTTTGAAGACAATTCCCATGTTCCTCCTAATTTGTTGCTTTTCTGAGCCAAATATTCCTAGTTAATCTTACAAGACAGAGAAAAATAATTGTGTCTCAAAGAAATGAACTTATCAGATTAGGTATGATTTAAACCTGGGAAATCAATACTAGGATACGGCAATGCCACTGGTGTCCCAGTAAATGTATCTCTTCATTCTTGTTTTTTATATATATATATATATACACACACACACACACACATTTTTTTTTTTTTTTTTTAAAGACAAGAGTCTCACTCTGCTACCCAGGATGGAGTGCAATGGCATGATCTCGGCTCACTGCAACCTCTACCTTCTATGTTCAAGAGATTCTCCTGCTTCGGCCTCCTGAGTAGCCAGGATTACAGGTGTGTGCCACCATGCCCAGCTAATTTTTGTAGTTTTAGTAGAGTTGGGGTTTCATCACATTGGCCAGGCTGGTCTCAAACTCCTGACCTCAGGTGATCTACTGACCTTGGCCTCCCAAAGTGCTGGGATTACAGGCTTGAGCCACTGCACCCAGCCTATGTTTTAAAAAGGGAAAATTTAAAAATATTCCAATATGCCAAAAAAAAAAAAAAAAAAAAAACCTAGAATTTTACATTTCCATCTAAATAAGAATCCAGAGACCAGGTGTAGTGGCTTACACCTGTAATCCCAGCACCTTAGGAGGCCCAGGCACACAAATCACTTGAGCCCAGGAGTTCAAGACCAGCCTGGGCAACATGCTGAAATGCCATCTCTGTTTATTTGTTTATTTTTTGAGAATTTTTTGAGATAAGGTCTCGCTCTGTCACCCAGGCTGGAGTACAATGGCATGATCTTGGCTCACTGCAGGCTCTGCCTCCCAGGTTCAAGTGATTCTCCTGCCTCAGCCTCCCAAGTAGCTGGGACCACAGGCATGCACTGCCACACCCGGCTAATTTTTGTATTTTTAGTAGAGATGAGGTTTCACCATGTTGGCCAGGATGGTTTTGATCTCCTTGACCTTGTGATTCACTCGCCTTGGCCTTCCAAAGTGCTGGGATTACAGGTGAGCCACCTCGCCCGGCCGGCCTGCCGAGTTTTTTTTTAAAAAGAACCTACCTTCATTCCACTTTAACAAAAATCCCTTAGATTCAAAGGACTTCCTTTCACAGACTTTCTAGAACACATGTAAATAAGAATTTGAATTTGAAACAGAAACTCCAGATAAAGAATCTTTCCGTCATTTATGAATCGCTTTTAGGAAAAGACAATTTATTGCTTTTCCAAGAAATTGCTTTTCATCAATCTTTTCTATTAAGTGTTAGAATTCAACTTCTACACAAGTGAGTTTAGTCTGTGCTGTTATTTTATATTTTGAGATGGCCTTGTACTGTCGCCCATCTCAGCTCACTGCAGCCTCTGCCCCCTGGGCTCAGGCAGCTCTCATACCTCAGCCTCCCACGTAGCTGGGACAACAGGCATGCACCGCCAGACCTGGCTAATATTTTTATGTATTTTTTTTTCACCTGGTCTCAAACTCCTGGACTCAAGCAACATAATCCGTCCACCTCAGCCTGCCAAAGTGCTGGGGTTATAGGCGTGAGCCACTGCGCCCAGACTATCATCTTTTATACACAGGGACAAAGCCAGAAATCAGTTGGTTAATGAAAATAAGAAATAAAGCAAAAGCATATATTTTTTAAAAAAATTTAAAGACAAGCATTGCAGGGGCAAGAAGAGGACAAGAAATGTATTTCTTATCAGCTCTCAGTGGGCAGGTCTTCTGAAAACATAGTCACACCATCAAAACTAATACACACTTATAAAAGTCTGCTCTTTAAAACTATTATCTTAATTCAGGCTGGGCATGGTGGCTCATCCTATAATCCCAAAACTTTGGGAGGCCAAGGCAGGACTAGCTTGGGCAACAAAGCAAGATCACCATCCCTACAAAAAAATTTAAGAAACTAGCCAGGCATGGTGGTCTGTGCCTGTAGTCCGAGCTGCTCAGAGGGTGAAGTGGAAGGATAATTTAGAGCCCAGGAGGTTGAGGCTGCAGTGAACAATGATCGCACCACTGTGTTCCGGCCTGGGCAACAGAGTGAGACCCTGTCTCAATAAATTAATAATAAAACTAATATAATTCTGGCATTCCCTTGATTCCCCCCAAAAAGAAAATAAGCCAAGTTAGATGGCCACAAATAGTAATAAATTTCTGTAAAAGGACTAGACTAAAACATAAGACTGCTTTATGCATCTTTTTTCAAATTAGCATTTTTTTTTCTGTAGGTCCTCGTTCTCTGGCTTTGTTCAGGCTGTTCCCTCTGCCAGGAATGCCCTTGCTTTCTTTTCACCCCATGCAAACTGCTGCTGCACCTGCCAGAATCAGACTGAAGACCACCTCCTTTATGAGGCTTTCCAAGACCTCCTGGAGTAGTTAATATGCATTTCCTTCCTTTGTATTCTTGCTACGATCATTCATAACTCTACTACAGCCCTTATTCATTGTGTTTTATCATCTATGACTGTTCCAACAGCTCTTTGT